CCAGTTGCGCTTCAACCCTTTACCCCGAGGATAGCCGCAAGCTCCTAGTATATTATAGTCGATATTAATAATATCTAAAATACTATCCTTGAAATTCTTAGTTATAAAAAATTAAAAGCCAAGTCGCACGTTATAAGTAATAGTTTTCGTTATTAAAACGAACGTCATAAATAGTCCTTGGTAATTTTGGAAATATGTAAAGAGCCAAAGAGCTGAAATACAGCTTAGGTATAGTGTTGTTCATAATTTATAAACGTTTAAGAGGCATTTGCCAATAATTTCAGCCCTGCGATTCTGTAACTCACTTTTCGAACTCACACAGCGGTTTTCGCATCGGCGGTCGCTCTCAAATCAGTCGTGAAGCAGTCATTTTATGATTTGGCATTCTGATAAACAATAAACTACAATTTCCCACCTTTTTGTGTGAGTTCGAAAAGTGAGTTACAGAATCGCAGGGCAGCTGTCTATGTCATGCAAATCCTGAAGCTAAACGTTGAGAAAGCCATTGCGATGGCGGATTTTGGAAATAGGAGGCATAGGTTCATGTAGAGAAGTTGTAGTTAAAAGTCTTACCACCTCACAACAGTCACGGCCTCGAGACTTTAGTAGTTCTTGATCCTGCTAGTATGGGATGTGCTATGGATCTACTATATCGTCAGCAATTGTGAAGTATTGTAATCAATTAGGACTCTTATTGAGTTTACAAGTATAACAAGATGTAGTTCTTCACCATGGTTGACACCAGAGCGTATATCAGGGATCCGACATTGTATTTTGGATTGCCATAATGATTTAGTGCCTTTATCTAGTCTTAGTAACTTACTTGGGACACAAAGTTTCATTATGCCAAGGATTGTTTGCGTTATCGAAAGCCTGTCGTAATTCTACGTTATAATAATGCATCACCTTTTCATATACTTAAGGCATTAAATAAAACCACAATATAATTTCTTAAAATTTATTTTCTATGCAACATAAAAAAATATCCATCATAGTTACAATAAATTACCGTCACTTAATGCGAAACAAAATGTAAATTATATTTAATTCGTGAACAGAATCTCGCGTACCACAAGAGCGATCATGTTACATATAAATGCAAACTATTTCAAACTGTATAATTTCGACATAAAAATATTCGCTTCCTTTTAATTTCCGAGTACTTTTAGTCAGTGCTGTTCCATTTAAAAAGAAGCGTTTATTTCACCGCACTACCATATTACATATTACTTAACAGTAATTAACTATGACATCAAAATCTCAACTATTAGATACATTGCAACATCAGATCTACATATATACACTTGCCAGTTAATATACTGTATACGACAGCACTTGTGACGTCATAAATGCATTATTGTGCATATCTTACGTCACCTGTCACTTAGCGTCACGCACGTTCATAAATCACGTACACGCATGTACATTTAGTAAGAAAAAAACTTAAAATCTGCGAATCTAATATTTCCGTCAAAATATTTGCCGGGACATGTTCTAAGGATACGGCGATCGATTGACGCTAAGTGAACAGCGGACTACTTATTTATACTTAAGGCAAGTGTCGACTAACGGGTACTAGATAGATAAATGAACACATACATAACCATCTTAGGGGAAGGCAGTGATGAGTATCACCGTAATTTTGTGGTCAACAACATCATTTTGAATGCTAACAAATTCGAATCAACGTGATTATAAAAAGCAAAGACGCGTCCTACATTAAATATTAAACTGACGAATTTTCCAAATGAAATATCCGTAATTATATATTAAATTCTTACTAGACAATAGACGTGATAAAGACTCCTTAACAAACAACTCAAAGGGGCTACAGTAACAGTGCCATCAAATATAATGAATATAAGGTACGAATGGTTACAAAAGCTCTAAAGAACGTGGTGTTCGCAAACAATATACAATTTGAAATTACCGCTGACAGTTCATAAACATTGCTTAGTTAGAAAAGACATTTTTAATTAATGAAATCCTGGATTTTTTAATCTTAAAAGCGAATAATCACAATGTTCCTCGCTGCCCAAAATTGAAGAAAGGAAACATCATCTAAATGTTATGCTTATACTTGAGTTTAAGTATTTTTTTTAATTCAACGAATGACAGTGACATGACAACAATGACAGCAGTGACAGCAAACTTGTCTAATTAGAATTCAAGGTCTTGTTTTCTTTATGAACGTCAGCGCAGCGTCAGTCTAAGTTTTATAAACAGACCGACGAATCAAATAAAATCAACATGGTCATACCGTGGAATGTATTAGGACCCGACACCTTTCAGGCGTTGATTAATAAATACTTACATCGATAGACAAAAAGCCAAGAAACTTAGTTTTATCTCGTTATATTAAGTACCAATATGCACAGGTAACATTTGAGTGTTCATCTTGGTTTTTTCTCTATCGATATAACATGAAAAGGCATAGTATAATAAATAAGGGATGCGAAGCGAACGCGTTAGCTGCCTAATATTAGTTAACACGAATTCTTACAACTAGCACATACAATTGTCCCACGAGATAACGCAGAGGCAAATTAGTTTTTCATTTCAATGACGAAAAGCTTTAATGGGAATTGAAACCCGAAACTTCTTTATCCTAAGTCTAGTTAATCAAATAATTAATTAAATATTTAGCTGAAACCGCAATTGTCTCGTGGAGAAATTGAAACATCAACTGGTTAATATGTGAGGTGCAAACTTCACGAAGTCGATACCAAATAGTTAATACAAAAAGCCTAAATTACATAGCTAATAGATCATTTCCGCCAAATGTGATGGCATCTGTAAAAATATAGAGAGCATAGATCCAATAAACCGTTGAGATTCATGTAAATATCATTTACGATGCGTTCCTACACACAAACTAAGTACACTTCGGGAACGCTTCGGGCCATCAAGCTAGCTCTACACAATTGACCGCGTCTTAACTATGACACAAAAATATGACGTTTATATACTTGAAAATAGTAATGATTACTATCCGCTAACAATTCAGTATGATGGGAGATGCAATTAAAAACTAGGTAACTGCACAATTGATGTTCAAATATTTGATTGTTTCTATTAAACGATCGAAACCTTATACACTTTGTTTCCTAAGAACATAAGTCCGCAATGCGGTAGTGCCGCTTCATACCTCATATTACTGTGTCATGGCTTCGTGCCAGTGTGCGCATACGCCTTACACTACGTACAATCACAAGAGCGACAGAACGCCATCTTCCCGCAAAGCACCAACATCGTCCGGCGGTCAAACTTTGCTTTCTTATATTCTGTATTTTCATACAAAAATATATTTTAAATAGATCTTTCGATGTTTGAACGTTGTTTTTCGTCATGTTTATAAAAATATTGTTAATTATCATAAGAGTAATTGAAGTACAAAAAGAAAGTTCAAGGAATTACACTTAGTATGGTATTTTTTTACACCAAATGGAACCTCAAAATAAGACCAGTATTTGAGGGTACCAACAAAAAAATAAGGTAAATTTTATTCTTTACTTAATAGATAATCAAGTGTGTCAAAAGAAATTAGAAATCCACTGTTTTACTTAAAATCTTCTTTTAATAGATTTTCGATTAAGAATTTCAACAGACAAGGTTGATATCATAACTTCAAGTTATATTGCTATTGATTAAAAAAAATGATCAAAAATTTCCGTCAACAGTTCCCTTTGGTGTAAAAAGAACCCACAGATACCACGTTGAGAATAGTCACAATTTCCTATTCAATTTAATTTCACAGCTAGATGGCGCTATCTTCAATTAAGTTGAATCTTTAGATATATCTTTGCTACGCATATTGGAGTATAGAATATAATTTAAAAGCGCGATACAAAATAATCTGCGTAATGGTCCATCCGATATGATTTTGATATAAAAATAATTCGTTGATTTTACGATAAATTGACTCTGAAGTTTCGAAGCAAGTCTGACCGCCGGCACCCAGAGCTAAAAATTTACATTCTTAATCATGTCACAAAAATAGCTTTTTCAGCCTGTAGCGAAGCGACGGCGATTTTAATTTTACGATACGTGGATGATATTGTAGTACTTAAAATCATTGATATATTTTAAAACCTTCGCTTCGCTACCGGATTCTTTATTTCTCGCTTTACCATCCTATTTAATTGATATCGAGCCAGATCTAAACCTACATATTAAATCGTATGAAATGCCAGGGACTCAAAAGAGGAAACAATTTTTTATATTTTTACTTAAAATCAGTCTCATAAAACAAATCTATGTCGGTTTCTAAATTTCACTATTGCAGCTGCGGTAAACAGAGCCTATTGGTTTACTATAAGGCCCATGTCAATAAATTTAAACTAAAATGTCAATTTAAATAAAATTAGCTACACAATTTTAATTATATTATAAGGGAGCGTTCAAGTATTACGTAACGAATTTTGGGTCTCGTCATGCAATACGGAAATTGAATTACGCGTAAGTGTTTATATTATTAATAACAAATAACAATGTTACGTACATTGTTTTTAATGTAATGCAATTAAAACAATAACAAAAGTATTTTAGCTACTTTTCGGGTACATAACGTTTTAATATTAGGTACAGAAAGCCGTTACGGCGCGTTACATAGGGGGAAGCGGAGTCGAAAATCTCCAAAAATTGCGTTACGTAATACTTGAACGCTTAAACGAAAAATGGTATGAACAAATTGTGACAGTTTAGGAACAATATTAATTCCATTGGTTACAAAATCAGATATTTTCACTAGCACATAGTCAGAAATCTTATTCAAAAGTTTCAGCCATCGACAGTGATACAGAACTGAAAGGCACGGAGACCTGTTAAAAATAACAGCGATTTGTTATGATAAATAGCAGATTTAAACCAGATGAAAATATCAGTGATTTCGCTTCTTAGATAACACGGGTTATACGTTGAACGGTTAAAAATTATGGTGTGAAGAGCAGGCCATACTGAGGAACTATGAAAAACAACAGTGATTTGTGAAATTAACAGTTTTAGACGTAAGTGGGCGGTTGTTGTGCTGGAGCTGTTTGCGGCGCGGGCGGTGGAGGCAGAACTCGTGCGCCAGGCACGTACTGACCGATGAACGAACCGTCCTCCGTGAAACGACCTATGAATTATCATTTATCCAAATATATGTATGTCATTTTAAACAATATGTAGTGTTTACTTGAGGTGACATGGAATATATCAGTCTATCAGTATTAATTTTTTTCATAACTATGAGAACATAACATTTAAAAACCATTAGTTTCCGTATGCGAAAGATATAATATATATATATATAAATTAGAATTGTTACGTCACACTAAAATGCTTCAAATTGTAAACTAAAAATTTAAAAAATCCAACTCAATATTCTAACAAAAAAGTAAAACATGCGCAAAAAAAAAACAAAATCATACCTCACAAAACAATATATAAATGAAATAGCTGCTCGTACGCCAGCGAGGGGAGAAAGGGAAAAGGACGGAAAACTGGACACGTCTATCTATCTATTCTAACAATAAATGCAAAACCATAAAATCAACACAAGCTCGTGCTATAAAAATCAAAAAAACATTCACTGCTCACTCAAAATATACTTAAAATCTTTTTTACAAACTACATTTAAATGTGTACTTAATAATAATCTAAGTAGCATTAAATTAAACATAAAGGACGCGTTGGGTCTTAGATAACTATTTTTTAAATAGTTGAAAGACTACGCCCTATAACGAGTGAGATAATTTAATAAAATATGGTATTCCTATAAGTAGCATACCATATTTTATTAAATTATCATTCGAGATTCATACACAACCAATAAAGAAATGGACAGTAGAATTTCGGCGGGCGATCTTTAGAGAACAATTTTTATTGTATTCCAATATGGAATGGAAAGCCTTGGGCCTTAATTATTTGCATTAGATGCTGTGATTTTGTATTCAGATCTGGGTTATGTCATGAATGGTAAAACAGTTGGGACAGGTTAAACAGGCCACAGGGATAGTGAAGTGAAAGGAGTCAAAGGTATAGACAATGAGTCTAGACGAGCGTGGCGAAGGCCTGCGAAGCGGAGTCTTGGTGAGAAGCCGCAGGGGGGCGCCTCTTTCTACCGTACTGACCGATGAATGAACCGTCTTCGTTCATACCAGCTGCAATACATGCGTACACACGGACATGCCACATTACATGCTTAAACAATGGCGATATACGAAACCTTTACAAATCGTCTATATAATCATTATAAGCTTTTAAAATATTATTCACGCATTAATACTAAATAGCTGAACATCTGATATGTCATTTTAACTATACCTTATACAATTGTCTACGTTAGAGCGCATTCATCTAGGCCCGAACCCAATAATTAAACCACAATCTCAGATCTCAGATTGTTTTCAATCTCAATCTCAGACCGTGACCATCGATCGATCTCCTATCTGCATCCCAATAACTAAACCTTACGATGACAATACATTTTTGGCGACGTATAAAATACTCTTTGTCGTTCCATTTAACCGAGTTTACACTCATATTTGATAATCAATATAAACCAAATAAAGTAAATAAAACCGTACAAATAACATTAAAATGTACATGTCATGTTTAAAACATAACAAACAGCTTTTTTAATTATTTAAAAACTGGTGTAAGTTAAAATCTGTTAAAATAATTAACAGTTGAAATCGAGCTATCGTCAACTGTCATTTTCAGACAAAGGTCTATCCACAAACACCGATCCGAACTCCCATGGATAGCTTATATCGACAGATGGCTATTACATTCCGTCGATTGGTTATTGGCTCACTTGTTACACCATTTGGATTAAGATTTCTATCTCAGATGGTCAGAAATGGGATAGGTTATTGGGTTCGGGCGCTAATCTATTGACCTAAGAATGTGGACATAAAACAAACGCGAATTAGGGATTTAAAAACATATAATGGATTTATTTAAAGGCAATTCAAGGTTTTGTATATCGATAAAAAAATAGCTTATTTAGCAAAATATTGAACTATAGCTATAAACAAGTGTGTAAGCATAAAATTCAAATAAAACGAAATAAAATTGAATAATTTAAAGCCAAAATATAATAAACACAAGTAATGGTCACAACTTACCCGTTTCTCCCTCGCCATACTCGGCCATCGAGTCGGTGTCGCTTTCGACACCGGGCTTAGGACCACTACTCATAGAGTGACGGGACTTGCTGTCCAGTCTGAAATAATATTTTTATCTATGTCACTGTCATAATGACGTAACTGTCAAGGTTTTCAGTTTGAGATACCTACAGGATTCGATTTTTTGTATTTAACATATTTATAACTGAACAATCTAAGACTTTAAGACCGAAGATGTTTACAATATAAAATCAGTGTTCATACATAAAAGTATTTCATTTAATAAGTTGTGATCGTCGGATAAAGGTATATTTTTAGAAAAGACAATATTTGGTATAACCACAAAATAAAATCTACTTGGCAGTGTAACTGAGCTGTTTATATAACAAGGGGAAAATGGGCAGCCCATGGACATTAACATTGCCAGAAGGCTCGCATGTGCGCTGTCGGCCTTTTAAGAATAGGTACGCTCTTTTCTTGAAGGACCGTGGCAGGTTCCACACAGTGATTGTGTGCAAACACTGCCGGTCAACATTACGTCGAGGTAATACGGGTATCACTTAACATCAGGTGAGGCAATAAGAAATAAAAATAACATAAATTTGGAATATTTAAAATATACTTACGGATGATTATACTCATGGAAAGCGGCGTCCGGATAATCCGCCCGTCCGTGAGCGAGTTCGCGATCGTGCACGTCGTACTTCCCACCTCGGTTACGACGCGCAACGCACACCGCTACCAGCACGAGCACTAAGAAAGCCAACGCCACCATCACCCCGATGAACCATCCAGCTGTGGCCATCGCCTCTTCCCGCATTATTACTGGATCTAGAAAATTAATTATATCTTATTTGTATTCTATTATAATATTATAATTGTTTTTAAACCTTTAAGTCATCGGAAAGTATCTTGAACCCAAAAATCTATAAATGTAAATTCAAGACCTATAACGCAGTAAATTTTGGTTCTATAATCACTGTATGCCTCGTTTTTTAATACCTGCTGTCCGCGCTTTAGTTTATTTCAAATATAACAAAAATAATGTTTCCCTATATGTGGTATAAATGATTTCAATCTGCTGATTGAAACATTTTTATTAGTCTTAAAAATACACCGAAAAGACTATTAAAAAATGTTTTCAGTCCCAATATTTTACTTTTTTTTACTAGAGGATTCATTAAGGAAACTAATTTCAGATTCAAAATACCTTTATTCATATATGTAAACACACTTATGACGTCAACAGAAAAGATGTTAAATTAATTTTAAATGTTCTACCAGTTCGCAAGTCAAGGGCGTAGAACGGGGGCAAGAAGAACTGGCAAGAACTCTCCACCAGTCTTTTTAATCGCTAAGTTTTTATTTACAAGCCAATGGAAAGTACCAAAAAAGTTAACAAAAACTTCTCCTCAAAATTATATTTAGGTTTAAAATCTCTATCCAAAAGGGATCTAAACTTGTAACTTACATAACTTACCGGTTGTCGTATCAACATCCATTACTTCACTGGTACTAAAATATTCTCCGTCATGAGCTGTCACTTTCACCTCATACACTTGTCCGGGCTCAAGACCAGTTAGCACAACATAATCGTCTTCCGTTATTTCATTACTCCTCAACCAGTTAGGATGACCCTTCAGCCTGTACCATGCTATAAAGTGGCTTCCGGCGTGACCGTCTAAGGAAGGTAACCAACGAACCAGTATATGAGCAGACCCCTCTTTTGCTGGGAGGGTACTCGCTTCAAACAAGGGTATATCCGGAACGGCATTCACCATCGCTTTGGTGGTCTGTTCCACATAATATTTGTCTCCTTCCCCAGCCTTGGTCTTAGCCCGTATTTCAATACGGTACTTAGTGTTGGGTTCTAGACCAGCCAGTTTGGCACGATCCAGTTTAGGGTCGATTTCCTTCTTCCTCTCTTGAAGCGGTCCTAGGGATGTGCCGGTGACTTTCTGGTAGTAAATTTTGTAGCCGGTTAAAATTCCATTTTCATCCATGGGTTTGTCCCACTTGAGGAGCATGGCTGAGGACCCGATGGGGTAGGCTTCAAAGGACTTGACTGTTCCTGGTTTTCCCTCTGGGGTAACGAAGGAGAGGATTTCGCTAGGCGGTCCATTGAAGCGTCCATTGTAGACGAGAATTCGTGCGTTGTTTTTCTTGAACGGTTTGAACACGGATACAAGAGCACTGGACGCATCGGACTTCACGAGCACTTCCTTTAACCTGTCTTCTTCGCCGTCAACCTGAAAATCCATTTAAAAATATAAGACACATAACAATAATATAATAATTTCCAAAGTAAACTAATCGTAAATAGATATGGCTGAGACATTTTTTTTACAGAAACTACATCTAGCATTTTTATATTTACATCATTTACCAACTTATTAGAGCTATACTTTACATGTGTCTAATTATATATTAAGTTTCAGAGTTATATAGTAGATACTATATTATATAGTAGATACTAACTCTATATAGTCTATAAATACATTAAAATGAAAAAAGTTTTGAACTTTCGGATTTTGCTTATAAATTTGCTTTTTATAAAATAAGGATTTATTTAATAAGGATATATTAAATAAGCTTAAAAGGCTAAATTTACTTAATACACAGTTTGCCCACATTTAGCGAAAGCCTCTAATGTCTGCATCGTTTCCATATTCTTACTGTCCCCTAAATAGCAAAATTCACTTCAACGTTCTGTAAATGACCGGCCAAGCGTAGCTGTGGCTAAGGTTTTTGTTAAATTACATAGTAGTAAACTATGGGGACCACCATGATTATTCGGTGCTTATGCCATCAAATTGTAGCTTTAGTGAAACGTTGGTAACATTCAATACAGCGCCATCTGTTAGAATTGTGACTGTCAAATAATAGACGATAATTTTCACATAAAATATTATTGCGGGTATAAATTGTGATTTAAGCTATGCTATCTTTTAAGTTAGATCAAATTGCACACGGTGTGCAAATCTGATTGACATCGGTTCAGTAGTTTAGGGAGTCCATAGCGGACCAACAACTTGACGCGTATATTAAGATTGTTCATAGTAATTCCACAAGTCTTGCAATATTTTTAAACAAAGACAATACAAAAAATAAATACAATTAATAAATTTCGCTATATTCAAGCTACACACCCAAGTCTGAATCTTGTACCCCTTGAAGTGTCCGCGGAGAGTTTCAGCTGATACTGGGTTCCAGCTTAACAATGCAGTAGTTCCAGTAGTGACCTGCACTAGAGAGAAGTTAGCGGGAGATTGTAGGGGCGTGTCCTCACCAGACCAGCCGATTACTTCCACCGGAGCCACGTTTGATGTTCCCTTTGAGTTTACAGCTATCACCTGTAAAGCAAATTCCAGTTATATAATCTCCAGGATTGTGCTTATCTCAATTGAGACTGGACTGTTTGTCCGTGTTCAAACACCTCCAACTTCTAAACTTCATTTAATTGTTTTACGAATTAGAGAAGAACATAAGTCTTTTACACAAATTTAAAGAAATTAATAATTTTCAAAGACAAATGAACAGCTAACCTTATATATAACTTTTGATCAGATTTCACTTGAACGTCGACCAACTACAGACACGGCTCACGTTTAATAGCTGAAGGTGCGCGATACACCAACAACTCATGAGAGTAATTTAATATATGTATTTGCCAGTAGTATTATGATGTTTTTTATAACAAATCGTCAATGATAACCTCGTATGTCAAAAAAAACATTTAATTTTTTATTCTTAGATTCTTATGTCATTTAACTGGTATAATCTAATGAAGTAAAGACTTATTTATGTAATTAATTAATAAGTCTTTTTTACCATCCAAAACTATAGACAAAAGAACATAATAATATTTTTTTACGAACTTTGACGAAATTAAACATTGTTTTCGTTTCCTGTAGGTAATCATTCTACAGCGACGAAATTTGGTTTGAATCTATGAAAAATATTCATTTCTCGCTTCCTCTCAAAGTGGTGAATACACCTTCAAGCCATTAATTATCGTGAGTCTGTCCGACACCTTTGAGATAATCCTTTGATCCTACCCGTAGGGCTCCATCTGTTACCTTACATCTCTTAGTGCAGACATTACTCTATTTATATATATTTTTTTTATAAGGGAGCAAACGAGCCTACGGAACGGCAGATTGGGCAGTCATCACAGCCCATGGACACCCATTTTAGTGGGTGCGTTGCCGGCCTTTGAGGGAGGAGTTATATTCGCTATGTAGGGCTTAAGGATCCGTATGATTGTTCTTAGGTCTCACCCTCTCATATATCTAGTTTGGCTTACTAATACACTACATATAATATATATACTTCTAATATCTATTACATATAAATTTTTCACATTTCACAGTCCACTGGCTGGCAAGCTAAACTTTCTTACCTTAATTTTATAAGGCTGGAATGTTGGCGTGTTAAGTACAATATACTCCGACTGAGTCCAATCGCGTATTTGCTGTTCGCTCCAAGGCGTTCCACTGATGTTACGTCGCCATGACACTTGGTAGTAGAAACCGGGACCGTTGTGCTCGATTTGAGGCATTTTCTAAATCAAAAATCAAATCATATCAATATTAATGTTATAAAAAATAGTAGAGTGTCACCAAAATTTCGTCTCTTGCTTTTACTAATGCAAGATTAAAGAAATTAAAAGCTAAAGTGAGCTCAAGTATCAACTACTAAATTTTATGACGTTAACCAAATACAATTAAATGCGATTTCTTAATTTTTTATAGTAGAACTGAAAGAGACCTGTTGTCTGCTTATAGGGGCCGTTCCTCTTGTCAGCAAAAGAAAGCGAAGCTCTCAAAAATAGTACATAAACGTATTTATTTTTAGTAGGAGTCCTCGAAATTGCATTTCGTTTTTAAGCATAGACAATGTGTGGGTAATATGTGTAAAAATATTTACTGTTGACGTAATCACCAAATAAGCAAATCAAAGACCCCTCCTCCCCCCATTGGTGCTTACGTAATACTTGAACGACCCCATATTTATATATAAAAGAATTAGATCACCTAGTTTATAATTAATTAAAACATTAACTATTATTAAACGTTCGGGAACTTCTCTTCTTTTTACAAGAAAACTTTTTTCCAATTTTTCTCTCCATAAAACTTCCTCACAGTTAAAAAAATTAATATATTATTAATAATATATAAAAAATACTCGAATTTGTCCAGCCGGTATTCGAGATTTGCACTTAGCTACATATTCTGCGAGAACTTTATTTCTATAGATTAAAAACATTAAAATTCACTTTATCTTATTAACATAACTTTTACACATTTAAAGAAAGCACTTTCCCTCCATCTTTTAGTCGATATCAACTCCGGGGAAATAATTACAGATAATACAACTTTTTCTACAGCTGTGATACTTTTTGACTTTCAACACCTTTTGTCATCAGTCACCGGGACCACGCACGCTGTAAAGCACGCGAAACGTCAGATTTTTTTAAATTAGGTAAAATAATTAAAAGTTTATAATAATACATAATTTCAATCCGGTAAAAAAGTGTTTTCTTTAAACGGCTCATTGGTCTAGTGGTTAGTATTGGTGTTGTGCTTAGGTCTTGGGTGTTTAAATATGTATTTATATGTGTTAGGTCTATCTATGTATAATATGTATGTATATCCGTTGCCTAGTACCCATAACACAAGCTTCACCAGCTTAGCATGGGACTAGGTCAATTGGTGTGAATTGTCAAATCATAAAAAAATAATAACTTTATTAGAAAAGCTCACTTACCGACCAAGATATGACCATATTAGTAGGATCGCGTCCTTTACCCTCAACATTATCCGGGTTCTTATACGGTACATCCGGCTGTGTGGTACAGGCATCCGAGTGTTTCGACGGCGTAGACGGTCCAATCTTATTCGAAGCTATGACTCGGAACGTATAGTTCGCCCAAGGACTCAATTCCGCAGTCCAGGACGTATCTAACCCGGGAACAGATTCGGACGCCGAAAGCCATGTATCGGGTGTAAAGGAGGTGTTATATTGTATCGAGTAACGGAGAATAGGGGCCCGATTGTCACCCATTGAATGCCAGCGTATCGTTGCGACTTTCTCGTGACATTCGATGCCTTCCAATGATGGTGGATTGGGTTTGTCTGGAATTTAAAAAGTAATGCAACTATTTATTAACTTAAAAGTGGCAACACAGTTGGAGCATTTAGGAGACGTTTAGCGTTCTCTATGACAATTAATTGTGGTTTGTGTGTTATTTGTCAAATTACTTTTATTTAACATTCATTGTTGTTTCTTTATTACTTTATCTAGCTTCCTTTTTATGTGTTGTTAACAGTTAATTGTCGGCGCAGATAGATTAATCATAGGTATACCAATGTGTGTTGTGTATTTTTTTTTAAGATGTAACAGAAATAAAGATTCTAGAACCATAATGGACATCAGCACCTCTGAGAACACACTCTATAGTATAGTGCAGGAAATATTTAACCAGTTTTAAAGACAATTTAGTTCGATGTGAACTGTCAACTGAAACAATTACTGATTCAAAGAATCAAAAATAAACACGATTTCAGACACACACCCACGCCCGTATACAAACCCACTCACACACCCTTTCGCTCACACGCACACACGGTAAATATTTAAAAATACCTTGAACAGTTAAAGTAGCCTGAGCCCTCGCTTCATCTATAGCTGTTCTCGCAATACATGTATATTCGCCGGAATCGAGCTCCGTAGTGTCGGATATTAGTAGCGAATAGTCATTTGTCATTCTAAACCGCGGCTGGTTGTCAAAGTCAATTGGCTGTCCATCATTGAGCCATATAATTTCTAATTTGAGGGAATCGTCCGCATTGGCATTACACCTGAATGTAGCTGAAGCTCCCGCTGCAACTTCATACGGCTCAGGTTTGTCCGTTATCACTGTGTGCTCTGGAAATTTGAAATTATTTTCAAAGGCGGTTTTTACGAGTATTTTTAGAAAGTTTTGTTAGTAAATATATTTTAAAAAAGTATAATGATAAGAACGATATTTCATAGCTAATTAAGACTTATTTTATATTTTTGAATAGGTTATAATATCGCGTAAGTATTAATTAGAATTTACTCAATCTTTCGTTATTTCTTAAAATATATTGTTAATTTTGACATTATGCCTTCAAGAAAACAAAATGATATCTTAATATAAAAAAATAAATCAATTATTTCAATAAGATACTCACTCTTGACAGATAAGGAACCAAAAGCAGATTTTTCGCCAAACTTGTTCTTAGCATAACATTGGTAGGTGCCAACATCTGTGTACGACACGTCAGCGATTACCAAATCACCTTCCGCTGTTATGTTGTATCTGCAAAAATAAACATAGTTTATCTACTACCATTTCTTTATGCGGCAAACAGAAAAGATCCAGAGAGATGACAATGTACAACTAAAGACGAAACGATTATGCCCTCCGTACGAATGTGATTGGTCAACAGTCACACGTTGACACGCGACGTGATACCACGTCCGTTTGACCAATCACAATAAAACGCAACGCTACTTCTCGCGTTTTAATTTTGGGATGCTATTAAACAATTAAAGTCGAATAGATATATTTCCACCAATTCCTGCAACCCTGCTACGATAAATACAAATTTTTATTAGAAATCAAATCCCTGGCTAATAGATTTTCATGCCAGACTATTCGAAAATTACATTATAGAATAGACAATATGCGATACCTGACAACTCTATAGTAAAGTGACTGTGTATAAGCTTAATAGTAATTTATACTGAATTTAAAAATTCCTTCGTCATTTACGGTTTGAAGAAACTTGTTATAATTTTAAAACTAGAACTTTTTACGTCGTCCTAATTGTGTTGAGTACGCCTAACTACCATTAAGTATTCAGGGCATGCAATTTTAAAGTAGGAAACTGGAAATCATAATTGCCTACTACAAAACTAACTGGACCTTTAAAAATTATCTAGGTTTTAAATCGAATACCATTCTTGATTGCTAATTGGAGCATAAGGTGCTGATGCATGCTTGTCCCACCTCCCTGACAATCAGGGGAATTGGCTGATGTGCATGCCCTGCCGTACCCAGGTCCTATCCTCTTCATGGCCCTAATGGAACCGTGATTCCCAAAGGCTATCGCTTTAATTGAACAGGGGAAAACGGACAGGAGGCTCACCTGTTCGCCAGCCCATGCACACTCTCAATGCCAGAGGGCTGGAGTGCGTTGCGGCCTTTAAAGAATGGTCCGTCTTTTCTTGAAGGACCTAAGTCGAATTGGTCCCATACTTCAGGGCTAGTTCAGTGGTGCGCGGCAAAAACTGCCTTGTAAAACGCTCAGTTGTGGAACGGCGGACTCGAGGTGATTTCGTATTCTGCCTCGACGTCCGATGATGAAACTCAGCGTAACGGGATGCAAACAAGGCTTCGCTGATACCGTGTCCTGCCTAGGCAGATGCTGGTGGCGCCGTGGGGTTTTAGTGGGAATGCATAACGGCGAGTCCCACATAACCCGTGGCGATTTTTCTAAATATTTGGACCAGCCTTCTGTCATTAAACCAAAAGACTAACTCAACCTGGGTTAAATATTAAATACAATGCTACTGCGTCATGAAGGTTTAGTTTATACTAATATTAATTCGAAACATAAAGTCATTCATCAAAATAAACTACAATATTATAAGATTACTAGCCGACCCGGCAAACGTTGTTTTACATACATTATTTCTAGGATTTTTTTTTAAGTTCAATAACAATAACTATCTACTATAATTAAAAATAGGAGGTGATCGTAGAGGGGTGAAAATTAGGGGTTGAATGTATGTTTGTATGCTGTATCATAAAAAATAAAAACAAAAAAGTTTTTTGGTGTGGACACCCCTTATCGCTTAGGGGTTTGAAAGATAGATAGTAGCCGATTCTCAGACTCACTGAATATGAATAAAAAATTTCATAAGAATCGGTCAAACCGTTTCGGAGGAGTATGGGAACGAACATTGTGACACGAGAATTTTATATATTAGAAAATGTTTCTTTAAATAATTCAACTTTATTAACACAAATGACAAGATTAGAACATTCCTGTATTGTGAGTGAACACGCTTCTGAGATACTGATAAGAAGAAAAAAATATTTGTTAATTGTTACAATAACAAAAGATGAATGAAAACTGAAACACATATTGTCAAACAAAGGTTTGAGTGTTTGCGTGTATATTTGCGTAAATTTTCTTTTAAATTGTCTCCCGTCTGCTATAGGAGGTAATTTCAAAGCCTTTCAATTATTTATTTTAAGTTCGATGCTATATAAATTTCCGCCAACGGAAATCGAATTTAATATCAAACGTATTGAATTAACCGTGCGCCTATGAACGCGCGGTTTCATATTACAGTGGAAATTAATTATAGCCACTCTCAGTAAGTGAGGGAAATGAGTTAATAAAATTAAAATCCTGGTATTTATAAATGCCAGGGGTGGGTGACGGCAAGTTTATTGTGTATAGGTGGCGTGGTTAAATAAGGGCTATGTCACTGACCTATAGTGTTAACAGGGGTAGCGACATACAAACTCGGCCAATACGGTTTTATTGTTTATTCAGTTCCACATTACCTAATAGCCAGTGTCAACAAGGTGTTAGGATTTAATATGGCAACAATATAAAAACGCAGACAAGTATGTATGTTATACACGCGATGCAAAATTAGATGAAAATTTTGAATTATGAAAGTAATATTAGAATAACAAATATGTCAGCTAATTAAAGTTAATTAACTAAACTAAATAGTAAGCACTGCAACCTTTTTAGGTCTGGGCCTTAGATTTCTGTATCTGTTTCATGATCATTTGTCAATCTAAATAGGCAAGTAGGTGATCAGCCTCCTGTACCTGACACATGCCGTCGACTGTTTGGGTCTAACGTAAGCCGGTTTCCTCACGATGTTTTCCTTCACCATTCGAGCAAATCTTAAATGCGCATATAGAAAGAAAGTCCATTGGTGCAGTCGGTGTTAGAACCTACGACATCAGGGATAAAAGTAGCACGATGAAGCCAGTAGGCTCAATTTATTTAGTAAAGGTTTTGAATTACAAATAAGTTTATGTATTAGCCTTTCAAATACTGAAAGCCTTCATATCAAGTCTGACTTTTAAATTAATTTAACACCCAAAACAAAATTACTACAAGTCGAGACTTGCGTCTCATTAAGGGCACCCCAAAGCTGTTAAGCGTTGGTTTTACGTCACAACCTCGCCTGATACTAATAATGGAAAATTTGAATATTCATGAAAACAAAATTGATGATTGCTACCCACGAGCCTTTTGTAGCTAGACTTTACCACTGGAGGTAGAGGTACCAACATTTTACGCTTATAATTCATTAGGTTTGGTATTACCTACTGTAAACAGACTACCACTATTTGGTTATGATGGAACTATAGCTGAGCGCATCTCTGAGCGACAGCAAAGTCTCAAACAGTAACGTGAAAAGCAGTGTATCAGGAACATCTGACTACTTCTTTTGCTATTCATCTGACAATTCTATTAGCTCGTGCAAATGCTCCTCATCACGCTTGCAGATTGTATTCCATAGACACAATGTATTATCATCTTTCTTCGCGTACTAGATTAAGTCGTTTACATGAAGTCCGTTTACACTTTCTTGACTATTGCGGACACATGTCGACGGCCGGTAGAAGCGTCTTACGCCCGAACCCAATAATTAATCCACAATCTCAGATTGATTGACTATCTAAGATCAGAACGTGACAATCGATCGGACTCCTATCTTCATCCCAATAACCAAACCCTACGAAGACAATCCATTTTTGGCGACGGATAATCTCTTTGTCGTTCCATTTTACCGAGTTTTCACTCATATTTGATAATCAATGTAAACCAAATAAAGCACAAATAACATTAAAATATGTATGTTTAAAACATAACAAAATGTTTTTTTAATTATTTATAAAACCGGTGTAAGTTAAAATCTGTTAAAATAATTAACTGTTGAAGTCAAGCTTTCGTCAACTGTCATTTTCATACAAAGGTCTATCCACAGATACCGATACGACCTCCCATGGATAGCTTGAATCGACAGATGGCTATTACAATCCGTCGATTGGTTATTTGCACAGTAGTTACAACATTTGGTTTAAGATTACTATCAGATGGATTATGGATTGAGATAGGTTATTGGGTTTGGGCGTTATATTATTTGATACATTAACGCCGTCGCCAACGTCCGATACGAGAATGGATTTTCTTAGAATCTTGAATCTTTTAAAGACAATAAATCTTCGGTAATGTTAGTTTTATTCGAAGATAAGAATCTTGAGGACGATTGATTAAGAGGGGCATTGACTTTAAACAATAAATTATTAACGTTTTATAAAAGTGAAAATGTAGTTTAAAACCGTACAGAGAGAATATGTTAAATGGAGGTAAGCCATTTTATTAAAATAGTTTGTTTTTCTTCGTTACGCTTGTCTATTTAATATCGACTTTTATATAAACACGCAATTATAAAACAATTTTTTATACATAAATAGGTGTGTCCTTGGAAGACACGTACGAATAGGACATTATTATAACCCAATTTAACGTAAATGGTTTCGATAAATTGGTACTTGTTTGTGAATGATTGTCACTATACACATGTGCCATAATAAGACTTAAACTCACAAACAAGGCCATGTAAAACATCAATTATTCAACGATTTGATAGACACGCCTTTCAATTACCAACTGATCTGCCGAGTGGCAAAGCTTACCCACTTTAATATATTATTTTTAATAGTATGGAATTAAAGTAGTTTTATTATTTATACTTATTAAGAATTTGGAGTTGATCCAGTATTTGGATAAGCTTAAATAGAAAATGGTACTCACTTTCCACCAGTAACATCGACGTCATCTCTCATCCATCTGACAATGGGTTTGGGAGCTCCAAACACACGGCACTTCAGCACCGCTTCTGAACCATCTACTTTGGTCAAGTTCTCTGGGCCTTCCTTGATCTCCGGTGGTATGGCTACAAACATTTCAGAAAACATATTTAAAAAGGTAAACTTTATTTTATTATAATACTAGATGCCCCCGCGAACTTCGTTTCACCTTAATATGACTTTTTTAACTTAGCCTACCTTTTTAATAGCTACATAGCAAAATGTGAATATTGCTGCTAAGCTACTCCATAAAGACTGTTTGCTTTTCCGGAATAAAAACCAAAGTACTTAATAAAACAATGTTTTTTATTTTCTCTCCATATAAAATTAATAAATTTAATAAAAATATACTCGAATTTGTTCCGCTGTCTTCGAATTTTGCTCTTAGGGAAACATATTCCTTATAGAGATCTTTTGATTTTCGACTGTCGTTTCTCAGTACCTAAGTACCTACATTAATTTGTTTTTAGGAATAGTGTCCAACGGGCAGGAGGCTCATTTGATGCAAGGTGATACCGCCGCCCATGGACACTTTCAATGCCAGAGGGCTCACGAGTACGTTTCCTTTTAAGAACTGGTATGCTGTTTTCTTGAAAAACCCTAAATGAATCTTAGTAAAACTATTTCGAATTATAAAATTCCCAAGCTATGTCAAAGTACGTAGTTTATACTATCACACACGCGAGCCCTATACATTTGTATGATGGTACCTATACGAAATTGAAATGGTGTCTGCAAAATTAGCGTGGGCGTATAAATCGTACGCCAACCCGTAGGATGTCGTATATTTCAGCTGACTGACATTTATCTAGTTTACAGCAATCATTATTAAATAATATCCGTAACATAGTACTCTTAAGCTTAGGTTTCCTAGAAAAGCGGTGCCGTTATCTAACGGCCGTAATGTAACGGTGGGTGACGTCACCCATACTTTGTCTATAAATAACATCGGAGTAGGTTTTTTAGAGAACGTTGAGTGTCACCGTAACGTCAAATAGTGATGCTGTCATTTGCATGACGGCCGTCATAGCATAAACAGTAGTTCAACGTTTTTCGCGTGTAGCGGTGCCCATATTTAATTAATACAATGAGTGGAAACGTGACTTGGACGAGTGAAAATGATTTTTTTTTTGCATTATGTTAAAAAGTAAAGACGGCCGTTATTAACAACCGTAAAATGACGGCCGCTAGTTAAGAAACCTAAGATTTAGGACAACTAAAGATTGTTTCCCCGAGTATGGCTACTCGTTAGTTTATGTTTTCCATTCGTCTTCGTCAATTCGAATTCGAAAGCGTGTACTTTCGCACTTCCGTTCAGACACAAATACGCCCACGAAACGCTATTTACAAACAAACATTACTAAGATTACGTGAATTGTATTTAGTCAGAAGTCAGAATTTAAACCTTTAAAAAAATACAAGGAGATATTCCAACAACAATTGATTGAGTTAATCTTAAACAATGATATAAAATTACGTATCAAACGCTTATAACCAAAGGATTCGGATTTACTAAACCCAATTAATATAAGGGGATAGCTTGTACTCGGTTAAGTACCTCCACAAAACATGAGGTCCATATATAAAGCCGCCTTAAGAGACAGATCAGATTAGTAAAAAAATTGACATAAAATTCCCGAGCCATCAGATTAAGGTAGGGTGAGTTAATTACATCCTAAAAAGTGTATATTCCACTAATCTGACAATTTGAGAGTGACGAAAAAAGGGAGGCAACAAAGTTGTAAAAAAAAGTCATCTCGACATTCTCGAGCGTAGCTAATTTTTTTATTTTGAAGGAAATAATTCAAGAATAATGAAAAATATATAATCTGACGATTTCCGCAAGCCGAAATAACAAAAATTCGTGATAAAGTTAAATCTGCAGCTCTGATGCCTACATTTCCTTAAACCGATCGGAATCTACTAAACGGCGTTCTAAATATTTCCCTCAAAATTACATTTCCTGTGAATTTGAACCGATTCGGACCGATAGATTTTGAGAAATTTTGAAAAATCTTAAAAAAATAAGAAATATTTTTTTAAAGTGGTTTCTTTATCATAACTTAAAAACTAATCCACCTTTAGCTTGAAAAACCACGTTATCGCCACTAAGCTGGTCAAAAGCGGTTATTCGTTCGAGAGATATCGTGAACGAAAGAAACCCGAAAAAGTGTTTATTCGGGATTACTCCAAATTTGTGGTTCGATCAATTAAAATTGCAAAATTACTTATGAGGATGATAAAACTGCGTCGAATCCCCAACCCGTGAAAATTGCTTGATCCATTCAAAAGTTATTGCGGTTTGAAAATTCCAAAAATAGTGTTCTAAGAAACTTCTATCAGACTTTCGACCTGAGAGCTCAAATGCATAGAAATGTTATTTCTTTGAACTCAGCAGCTCAAAATATCAATTTTAAGCGCCCAGAATGGAATTAGCGGGAAGTTGCAGGGATGGCCCTTTAGTGAACCGTTTTTCTAAATTTTTTTTGTCAGATCAGCGAATCCCTCTAGATAATCGTCAGATTATGAGACAGTACGTTTAGAACATAAAGATGAACCACATATATCTTAATCTGACCGCTTAGTATTTCAAAATTTGATTTTTTTGCAAATTATGAAAATGGCTGTGGGTTTGCGTCCCATCAAATCGTCAATTAGTGAATGAGAGCTTTTTTTTGGTGCACTTAACACTCCCTTAGAAAATCTGACGCGCTCGATATTTTTTTTTTTTTTCATTTTCAACCCTTAAATACAACCACCCGCATCATGCAAACGATCAGATTAACATACGTACATTATTAAAAATACGTAGGGCATAGATGCTATCAATATCTGACGCGCTCGAGGATGTCCATGCAACAGTTTTTTTTACATATTTAACTATCTATAGCCGCTTCCCCCACCGATGAAAAGGAATTTATCATATAACATTTTTTTCTTCTTATTATCTAAGCTTTCATCCCAATAGGTCTCTACGACGCTCGAGTAAATCCCCATTTAGCATCGTGGGTCCCCTATGACTAGTAAAGCCTAAAGATGTACACTACGCCATTGCCAGCTTATATTTTCTTAATAAAATCATAATATTTGCCAAAATTATCTTTTCATTTGTTTCGCGATTTTCATTAGGTAGCCCTTGTCGAACATCATTTTTCTGTCCACATTATTCTTAAACTTATAGTCTTCCCAATTTTATTAACGATTATCTCACGTGTCCATTCATGACCATGTCAGCCCCTAGTACGGGGTGGATGAAATATTTTTACGTCGCCCGGTCACTCACCCCATTCGCACCTCAACTATCGATTCACTCCAACTATTTGCGATACCGATCGAGTGGAGGTTGAGGGCAATCTCATCCCTCTTATAATTTCTCCCTGACTCTTTGTAAAGGATTTTTATGTCTGCTCAAACAAACCTTATGTTTGAGGGCATAATAATTATATATAAAAAGAATATCGTCGAATAATTCCCAAGTTGCAGTTGCTAGTGAAGGAAGAACTAAAATTTCGACCAAGGGAATGTAAAGTTGTATTCAAAAGTGCCCAATTCTCTTTTACGAAGCGTCGTAGCCTGATTTTTTAATATAATCATACCGCGTAAAAACAGTTTTTTTTTTTGGGTAAATCAACGCGCAAAAACTATAGCCCCGGTCGAAACTAAAAGTTAACAGATATAAAAACTATTTTTTTACATTAAAAAAAATTATGTTGTGTTCTATAATTTCAGGATAAGTACACAAATTAATTATAGCAACAAGGGTCGAAACAGCCAGGTAGCGTGTTAGACACGTGGTCAGAAAAATGCAGCTGCACCTATTTCATTGTCACGCAACCGCCTTTAAATAGATCCTTAGAAAAAAGAGTCGGGAGAGAGTACAATAGAATTTTATACGTACATTTTATACGATCTTTGCTTCTAATCTTTATATACCCATAAACATTGACTAATTTGATGCTACTATAGTTACGATAGTTTCCTTTCCTTTAGATTTAAATTACTTAAAATAAAATTTACTTACGAAAGCAGTAATAGCGCCAAGTTAAAGTTACACAGAACACAATTTATATAGATTTCTGTTTTAATTTTCCTAATTACTATTCCGAATGGCTGGTGATATGTTACCTCAGGCCTATATACAAAGACAGGCAATACTTGTTTATTTAAATTTAACATTATTTCAACCATAAAAGAGGATGGTAAAAAACGTTACTAAAAACGCAGGTCTAATCTAATAAACTTACTACCAAATTAAATCAATGTAATTAGTGATGTATAGGATATACGATGACATCAATCTTTAAATTGATAGAAGGACTTTTCAATGGAGTTATTAACATTTTTTTCAATTAGCACAGCGCGGATGGAATACAATAGTCATGCCATGCCATTCGTTGACGTTTTGTAGATTTATTGTCTTGTTATTGATGAACTCGATTCGGTACCTGGGATTATATAAAGCGACAAAACCATTTTTGATCATATATTAAAGAAATATTACAACACTCCTTAAATTTTTCAAGTTATAACTATGCTCCCGTTTGCCCAATGCGTCAAATTTTTATCATAAAGTAGTGGCTATTTAAATAAAATAAATAAGCAAAAATTCAATATTTTTGTAAGGAACGTTTTGCGAAACCAATGCGGGATTTAATATACATATATTATAAAATAACAAAGTAACCTTTATCATTTTTATGTTTTCATTAATATATGTATCTCAACAATACGGTAACAATTTATACAATTTCCACTAACAATAACTGTCACATTACGCGGTTAATTTTACCGGGTTTTTGTATCTTTATTAAAGATTAGGTATATTTATATACCACATTTGACAACTAAATCAGTTAAATTACATTAAAATGTATAAATCTCTCTTTTGATGACAGCGTAAATACAATTAGATGGAAAGAAACAAGAGTAATTTAGTTAAAACAACAAGAGCGTAACAAAAAGCCTATATAAACACTCAGGGTAATTTTTTATTTAGTGAATAACTAACCATTCATTATCTTCTTACCTATTATAATAAATAAAAATCGTCTTCAATTTCCATAAAAAGAATATTCACTTTTAATAGTCACGATTAAATTAAATGGACACTTCTTATAAACTTCTTCATAACAGTTTGGGTTTCACCCAAGCTGTCTACAGATGGTGCTATACTGAGTCTTAAGCACACCGTTTCCATACTATCTGCGTCGGAGGACGGCGGTATATGCCTGTTTCCTTGATCTTTCCAAGGCATTTGTTTGGTTTGCCTACGATCTACTTTGGAAGAAGCTAGAGGATATAAGTGTTCCTCAAGAACTTCTGAACGTATTTAAGTTTTGGTATGGTAACCAAATCAATAATGTTAAATGGATGGGTGCCTTGTCTAAGCCCTATACGATGCAGTGTGGAGTAAGACAAGGTGGACTGACTCTCCATCTCTCTTTAATTTATATATAAACGCTTTGATTGAGACGCTTAGCACGAGCGTGTCGGCTTCACGTGGAGGTTTCTTAACAATATCAGCTACGCAGACGATATGGTGCTGCTGAGTGCGTCGGTCTGCGGGGTTAGACGTCTCCTTAAGCTCTGTGAGGTATATGCGGCTAGTCATGGTTTGAAATATAATGTAAATAAAAGTGAAGTCATGGTCTTTGGGGCCGGTTGGAAGGGTGTGTCCAGTATACCCCCATGTCCTATATGGGGTCCCTTTAAAATTGTAAAAACATTTAAATATCTTGGACACATTTTGACACCCACCTAGGAATGTGATATAGATAGGGAACGGAGAGCGTTGTGTGTCAGGCAACATGATCCCCCAGGTTTGCACGATGCTCAATTGATGTGAAAGTAACCTTGTTTAAGCATTCTGCACATCATTCTATACGAGCGCCTTATGGTCGAAATATACTCGATTGTCATACAACGCTTTCCGTATCCAATATAATAATGCGTTCAGGGTGCTGTTGCGCTGCCTCGATTCTGCAGCCATCGGGGATGTTTGCTGAGGCGCGGGTGGATTGTTTTTACCCACCATACGCAAGAGATGTGCATCCTTGGTGCGCAGGGTGAGAGCTAGCGTCGTATCCTCCCATTATCGCGACCAGTCGATTGCCCATACCTGAATCACTGTTCCTCTATTTCATGAATGATTCCGGTATGAATTAATGTAAACATACTAACCTTAATTTAAGGTATTAAGCTGTAATTTACTAACATTGTTATGGAACCTTGTTTTCTGAATTAAACGATTAAATTAAATGGACACTTCTTATGTCAGATAATTAAACTTATTGTTCATAGCTCGCAATGAATCTTTTATTAAAAATATAACCAAACTCCATTAAACCTAACGTTATTAATACAAAATACATAACAAATTTCTCTACTTTTTATTAAGAGAGATTTGAATTAGTAAAATACAAACTGTAATACAGTAGATTTATGATTATACACTTGTAATCCCCTTACACTAACATTTTTATTGCACCCGACCGTCACCCCACGCAAAGATGCTACCGTATCAGCAGTTTCTTTGTATCTACCCTCAGTTTGTTTTTGGTCGATTACCCTCCCCTTTCAGTAACTCTTGATTTCCATCCTTATTGCTTTGCCTGTATTGCTATATTGTTAATGGACATTGACAAATTATATTTGCTTTAGCATTTCATTTATTAATCCTAAACACGAGAAAAAACGTACGTTTAAGTTTGTTTTTAAGCAATATTGATCCAGATTTAGATTCTGAATATAAATCAGATATCGATCTTGCATACATTACGGGGCACTGAGAGGTGAAACGACAGGATTAGTGTGAGCTGATTTAAATACACTGTAAACACTTTGTAAGTCAACTAAAGTTTCTTTAAAATCGAGTTATTAGTAAATTATTGTATTTATAATTCAATATTTGTAGTCTTAATATAGCTATGATTTCTTCTATATTTAAATTGTCCATTTTGAAGATTTTTAATTAAAAAATACGGCTCATTAGTAGGGATTCCTGACCTTAATCAGATTATAAACTATTCACTCTTCAATAAATTGAAACTCCTATATGCGCAATATTCGATCCCAATACTCGTTATTATATCCAGGATTTAACCTACTTCACTGGAGATAATTTTGATAAATCTATATTAAATCATTCACTAAAGTTCGGTAAAAAACCAATTACGTAATATTTAACGCCAGCTTCGTGGCACAGTAGACACAGTTCATAATCAAAGGTATTTAATCTACCCAACGGCCCGTAGTAATGATAAAATAATTAGAGATTGGCTGGTCACCGACTTACGAATTCTCATGTTATCGGAACTTTATAAAACTTTTCAATAAATTAAAAATATTACTCACATTGAACATTAATGTATACATCCTTGTACACGTAGCCGTTCGAGTTAGTGGCGTTACAACCATAGTTGCCTGTGTCTTTCTTCACCAAGTCCGTGATGAGAATCGAATTTGATGCCACTTGACGTCTGGAGTTGGTCTCCGCCTGCTCTATAGGCTTTCCGTTGTGGACCCAGGTGATTGAGGGCTCTGGGGTACCGCCTGCCTTACAGTGGATGATTGCTGTCTCACCTTCAGCCAGGTTTTGGAACTGCGGTTCCTCGATGAAGAATGGCGCGGCTGTAAAAGAAATGGTAATTAGAAAGAAGAATATGATAAGGATCCTTCATTAAAAATACCGAAAAACATATATCCAGATAGTTTTTATTAAATTGGTAATTTTACTCTAGTATTAATAAAAGGTACGCTTGTGTAAATATGTTATATTTTTATATATTGTAGGGGTTTATGTATACCACACACTTTGTATAGCGACAGTGTGTAGGATACAATTGGTAGCACCGGTCGTTCTTCCCGCGCGCCATAAAATATTAGCTACTGATTATGTTTTATTTTCTACACACTCCTACTAGGTGACCGCAACCACGCACACCTTAAATATAAAAAAACCAGTGGTGCTACAACTCTTAGTCTTGGCCTCTAATTTCTGTCTATTTCGTGGTCATTTATTTTCTTGTATTGCATTGCATTGTAATACGTAACGCAATTTTTGAGCCGTTCGGGATTCCTCACGATGTTTTCCTTCACTGTACGAGCATAGACAGAAAAGTCCATTGGTGCATTGATGAGAGTCGCACGCTTAAGCAAGTAGACCAATACCGCTCTTGCCACTTACCTAATAAATGTGGAACTGGGAAGTCAGGCTCCTTAAATACAGTTCTTACTGCAGTAGCCATTAGGGCACATGTTTATGTTATCATGATGGCAATAAATTATTATTATCGGACATTATTGAAGAATTTTCATGGCTTTTAAGTACATATACTATTTTACTATACATTTGCATTTTTTCCTCGGACTTCACATACAAAGTACAGAATATTCAAATCTGATCATTGAGTATGCCACATATATCTTAATAAGTAGTTTAGTTCAGACGTAAGCTTTATCAATGCGATTCTATTATAAAGAGTGTAATATAATACACACAACCACGAAAATAACTGTATATGTGTGCGATCACTAAAAATTCCTCCCATGCTCCACACAATTGCTGTTATGAAATAAACTGGGGCATTTGTACACTAAAATTCCAACGTACTAAATCCAGTGTAGCGATGTATTGCATTCGATGGGAGTTTATTACCACCGCCCGTATGTCTTCACGTAAAACACCAAATTAAATGTCATAGGAACATCAAGATAAAATATCTTTAGCAATCTAGAGATTAGTTCTTACAGTATAGGTAACCCGTTTATATGTGACTTGGTAAACCGTACTGAGAAAATCTAGAAATGGTTTAAGTAGTAAAAATCTGTTAAAATATTTTTTAAATATCAAACAAGTAAACGTTGTCTTAATTCCTTTTATTAAAGACTAGCTGAGCTCTGTACTTCCACCAGATCGTAGCTCGTACGATGTTCTTTATATATCCTGAAGCTGTTCTCAGTAAATAGACTTTTAAATGCAGATTTTTTTTAGACATATAGTATCGCGGACTTAGATATTCAAGTCTTGTTTAAAACTATAGTACATCACTTTCCTCCATTGTCAAGTTTCCGAGGCGTATGCGGTTTAGGAATTTTCATTAACACTCACTTTTCAGTCACACTATCGTCATTTCATACAGAACCATAACCTTTTTGAAAATATTCTATACATATATGTTTATCAGGGATAACGTAGGGTTCTAATGGTGAAATAATTTTTCAAATCAGTGCTGTCGTTTTAGAGCCTATTGAATGCAAACAAACAATCTGATCTTTCCTCCTTATAATTTTAATTCAAGCCGTATATTTTAAGAATAGATGGCGTTCCAAATACAAAATTGCGAAAGCTAATAGATATACACTTGTCACAAAGAAACGATTATGATTGGTCAACGAAATGTCTAGACACTGTAATGCGTTTTTTTAAGTATTTCGACCCCATTGCAATTTTTAAATAAGGAATACTTTGTCATACAATATATAGCTCGGTAAGAATAAAGAGCATACAATGGGCCACTTAACATATCGTCAATAGGAAGCGGAGTCCGAAATAACGAGCTGTATAAGGCGAGCGGCGCTCCTCAATTGTGTGAGGGCATTTCCGGAATTTATTATTTAACTTGATCAAATTACTGCTATAACTATTTGTCAGGATCATTGTCTTCATTAAACTATGTAGTTGAGGGGCTTCCTTTCTCGTACGACGTAATTTATGCTTCACATTTCGTAATTATTATATATTAGATACACCATCGAATTGAGGATTACGAAAATTTAAATGGTTTGATATCTCTTGTAAGTAAATGAAACTACATTTATATGGTACATAATAGAATAACTAAATTCATACATCTACAATACTTTATAAAATAAATTAAGTTTATTATAGAACATAAGATACATGTATCACTTATTCCACGTCATAAAATTTGAATTTGTAGGCATCCCTACTCATTGGCAAAGAAGACAGAGGGTGTAGGCCGAGAGAAAAAGCCGGCGTAAAAAACTCTCGGTACTCTTTTAAAATAGCAAATCATCAAACAACACTCTCACACACAACTATACCTCAGTGTACATTCAATTCAAATATTGTATGGAATTTTTACAGCAAAGCTTTTTAGCGAAAATTCTACTTCAAAGATCGCAAGTATTTATAATCTACTACCTAATGTAACTTACAAAGTATTATTACTGTTTTGATGATACGTAACATTTGATGCCAGTAAATAGCAATAACGAACCCTAAATAAACTACCCCACTGGGACAAAATAGCTTCTATACAATCAAATTCGGAAGTTATATCATCGGGGGGCAATCAAGCATTTGATTCAATAAAAAGAATTATAATCACGATACATGAATTGGCTTTAATGATATTAAACTTTGCTGTACCCAGCGGGCAGCGGTGTAACCTGCGAAAATTCGGTCATATAATAAGGTTTAAGATACGTATTTCTCATTTAAAATACCACAACATTCACTTATTAATCTAATTGTGTACTATACTTTTAAAAAAGTATAACAGTTGGAAAGAAACAGAAGACTTATTATAGAAACACAACTACAAATTTAAAAAATTTAGATAATATCATCAGAGATGTGGCGGAACTTTATAATTCATTTTTATGATACGCAAACAAAAACCTATTGCCTCGAACGCGACCATAAAATATGATAGAGTAGTATTAAATAGTCTTTCCCCAATAAGTGGAAAGAAAGACAAAATCATTTTTATTCGTACCAGTAGTGCTGAAATAAGTGCGTTCAGCCAAACAAATCAGCTTTATAATAGTTAATAGTTCAACTTTAGTACGCATTAAATAGATAAAATCGCAATGAATGCTATGACTAACCTAGCCTTTTCTAATTTTGTTTACGCTGTGATTAAAATGTGTGTGTACATACGTTTACGATGTCTGATATAAAATACTATTTATTTACTAGCTGCCCCCGCTAACTTCGTTTCTCCTTAATGCCTAGCCTACCTTTTTAGTACATACCAACTTGGAATATTATGCTTGTTACCCCAGAGACTGTTCGGTTTTCCGGAATAAAAACTTTTAAGGGTTTTTCTGTGATTTTTCTCTATATAAACCTCAGAGTAATAAGGTCTTAACTAACAAATAAAAAATAGGGATTGATCGTAGAAGGTAGATGAAAATTAAGGGTTATATGTATTTTATCATAAAAACAAAAAAAAGGGATGGACACCCCTTATCACTTAGGGGTTTGAAATATAGATAGTAGCCGATTCTCAGACTTACTGAATACGGATGAAAAATTTCATAAGAATCGGTCGAGCCGTTTCGGAGGAGTATGGGAACATTGTGACACGAGAATTTTATATATTAGATTTAGAAACAACTACAGGAAACAACCACAACACGATGAACATGACATAGTAATATAATATAGGATGTATTCTCATTTTTAGTTACGGCTCATAAGTACTAACAGTTTAAATTAGGTACCGCAAAGATAATACAATAGCAGTATCACTCTATAGTTTTGGTCTTAGGTTACACCCGTGTTTGATCATATACTTAAAATAGACATTATTTTTTTCCAACAACCCCAAGTTTCATAAGTCCAGTCGCCATTACAGTTCACGCACCATAATCTACGTTTTTTACTTGTAAAATATTTGAAAACTTTCTTCCCCTTATTTTCTTGCATGTGAATCACTCAATAATTTACATAAGACGGTATAAAGTTTCGCTTCTATATATTTCATAATGAAAACCATAATAAAAAGGAACTTAGTTAAATCGCCATTTCCTAATGGACCTTATAAGATGGCGTTAGGCACAGAATACTATGCGATATTGTTCATATTCAAAAATAGAATGAAACCATAAAAAGTTTAACATGCACCCTCTAAAAGACGAGGTTCTAGGAATTCTACTTGAACGCAATTAGCTATTTTAGGTTCAGACATACGTGTTAGAGCTTACATTGTATTTTATACAAATTTAATTCCACAACTTATCTCGCTAATTATAATTTACAATCCGACCGGGAATCGAACTCGATATCCCCATATAACGGTCCCATAACGAAACCTTTTTCTATTTTATTCAGTCGCAACTTGAGTACAATGTGCACACATTCATAAGTTTTAAGTGATGACATGAATTTTCTCAACTCTAACAATATTTTTAACTGCCTCCCCATTATACCATTCCGCAAAACAATCAGCATCCCTCAACCCTTGCATCATTATCATGAACCCCTAAATCATGAAAAATTAAGGCTCACCCTTAGCGCAAAAAATCACCCTTTTATCATCCCCCATAACTATTTAATGCGAATATGAATGGACTTCTAATACCATAATCCTTGTACGCATATGTAATTTATGGGTATGCTTTATACCTGTGCGATTAAAAGTATCACAAGACCCCTATACAGGGTATGGAATAGGGGTTTGGTTTATCCCACGGGATTAATACTAAATCGCTTAAAATTAATTAGAAAATTGCATTGCAATTCATTTATGATACAAAGGTCACAGAGATTCATTCGGTATAATCGGCGGTCTTGTGCGCACATCACATGCCAGAAACAATGTTTTCATTCTTAAGATAAGCTTCTTTCGGCATTATAAGTAAGACAGCAAGCGTCTCTAAAATAACTTATGTTCGGAGATAGACTTTGAGTTTCGGGTACAGAAAGGTTACAAGTTTCATTAAATGAATTATGAACAGTTATCCATTGGGCAGTGGAACTCCAAAGCCTCTACTTTATATATATATATATATATATATATATATATATATATGAAATAAATAAATCAGTGGCGCTACAACCTCTTAAGGTCTTAGCCTCAGATTTCTGAATCTGTTTCATGATCATTTTTAAATCTAATAGGCAAGTAGGTGATCAACCTCCAGTGCCTGACACACGCCGTCGACTTTTTGGGTCTAAGACATGTTGGTTTCCTCACGATGTTTTCCTTCACCGTTCCAGCAAATCTTAAATGCGCACAAAGAAAGCCAGTCCATTGGAGCACAGCCGGGGATCGAACTTACGACCTCAGGTATAAGAGTCGCACGCTGAAGCCACTAGGCGAACACTGCTCTGTTAATATATATTAAATACTAGTATAATATTGAAGGTACAAAGTATAAAACATGGCCTGTACATAAGGCTCTTAACAATTTGTAGACGTGTAGAACTCACATGAATTTTTCATACTAGATGGGTGCCACCCCTCCGTTTAACGCTAAACTTTCCGCAGACATATGGTATTGAGATGTATGTCAAAGTGCAGACGGCATTCAAGTTAAATTACGCGTAATCCAAAGTGTACGCATTTGACGCGTGCTCAACTAGTATACAATATATAGATTATACCTTTAAATTATAGGACTAAACTTAGTAATACACAATCCTTTAAGGTATCTGCGGTGAGGCTATGGAATTCACTTCCCGTCCCTATTCGCTATCTATCTTCCTTTAAATCTCTACTGTACAATAATTACCTGTCCACTTAATATCCCTAACGTTCGTACTAACTGATGTGAAACCGATCTATGATTATCGAGTTGTTTTTTCTTTTTGTTTCTGTTAGTTTTGCCTTAATAACTACATATGTATATTATGTATTTTTACACTTCTTGCCTAATCTTATCTAATTTTTTTTCTCACAGTGGTTGCCTGGAAGTTATCGCTCGAAAGCGATAAGGTCAATTGTATGATATGTATGCAACGAAGTGTTAATAAAGAAATTCTTTAAAAATTTACGTGAAATTGATTTTAATAAATCCAAAGCATTAAATTAATGACCTCGTTAAAAACAGAATTATATCTTTAATAGTTTCGAAGCTTTTGACTGTACCCAACTCTTCCAACTATGCTTTCCAGTCTCCACGCGAAGTGGCCTTTCGCCGGATTAAAAGAACATATTGCATACTTTCCCATTGACTGACATACTATTGACGTTAATTTAAAAAATTTAATCTTAAAACCTGATTTATTTTTAAAAAACTCACCTTCAACATTAAGCTGTATAGAGTAAGACTGCGCTTGACCAACTCCGTTGCTAATTTCACACGTGAAGGTTCCTTGGTCTTCATACCCAGCACGTTTTATCACTAATGTCTTGCCATAGTTATCTTGCGTTATTCGCTGTGACGATAGTATTGTTCGACCATCTTTCTTCCATACCACTTGGGGCAATGGCCTGAAAGTTTGAATTTCGAATAATAAACTCTAAAATTGAATATTACTACACAAGTTCGAAGTTTAATTTACACAATTGATTAACAATTATTATATTGCGTAATTAAGTGTTAAATGAATCACAAGCTAGTACCAGTTGAAATGTTATATCAATTTAGTTGATTTTATGAGACAAATATCTGCGCGTTACAAACCGATGGAATCCAAGGAAATTAAGAACGAACCGAACTAAATGCGTTATAGGACTGACGATAAACAAAAAAAAATACTTATTGTAACCTAAGACGTCCTTCCAAACCACTAATTCAAAAACAACCAAGGTCTTTAAAACTAGATTTAAAATGCCTCAATCCAGCTTTACATCGTACACGTTCTCAACATAAGGGTCTTAAAGCTCATAATCTCTTTAAGTGTCGTTTTTACATTTTCTTTACCGTTTTCCATATACTAAAAGACGTAATATTAACTTTCCATTAAGAAATACATTTTTATACAATTACTAGCTGACCCGGCAAACGTCGTTTTGCCATGTATATTATTTCTAGGATTTTTTTTAGTTCAATAAAAATAACCAGGGGGGGTTTTTTTTTAATGCCACATAATAAAATAATAAAAAAAGATTTTTTTTTTGGGGTGGATATCATATCCCATATCTCTTAAAGGTTTGAAAGATAGATAGATAGTAGCCGATTCTCAGACTAACTGAATATGCATAAAAAATTTCATAAGAATTGGTCGAGCCGTTTCGGGGAAGTATGGGAACGAATATAGTTTTTAGGTACACAGTAAGATACAGGAGGTCTGCATGACCCACTAATATTGGCTGTGGCCGGCACGTCATATGATTATATTAACAAGAACATTAATTAGAATGACGTGTAATGAATCACGGTATGAATATTAATAGTATTTATCAATGTTCGCAGGACACGCTGGAGTGACGCATCTTAGCAAGAGGCGCCAGTATCAGAGACTGATTTATGAATATGCAATAGTGTCGTCTAGGGGACCTAGTTGGCATCACTGCACTGCTGTATGCCAATTTCGTTAATTGCTTATGTAAACCTTGAAGGTTCTTTTTAAAAGTATATATCACACGAGATCCTATACCAAGCTAAGAGTAGTAATAAGTAAACAAAAGTCTTTGTTGCTTGCTATTTGAATATTTTAATTTATGCGGGATGTTCTATTTTATACGACTAATGCACATCTGCAATATTGTGTCAAGAGCGAGACCTAGTTGGCTCCGGTGCCAAATTGTTACATCGTTAATATCATCTTAAGACACTTATATGGAGATAATAACATGCCACTAGCTTTATTCTCCTTCCAGCTTTATATATACCCGTGTAAATAAACTACAGGGATTAAGATCTTAAGCCCATACTAGAAAATACTAATTGGATTCCTCATTAAAATATTCAAGTAAAGTTAACCCTTCAATTATCCTACATCTCGACCCGAAGAAAATTAAAATACTTACGTTCCGCCATAAATACAGTAGAGTTCAACTTTTTTGCCTCGCCATGCCTTTTCTACTCTCCTGGTAGTGTACTGTCTGACTGGTTCGTGCTTGTTCTGGGTAGGTGATATTCCCGTCTGCTGCACTTGAAGATATACTTTATTACCTAGTTTGTACTCGTTTCTGAAGACAGATTTAGCTGCGCAGGTATACGCGTAATCGACGCTAGCATCGTATCGCGTGACGTTGGAGAACCAGAGATTGCCCTCTGGATCTAGAGTCATTCTGGAGTTGTTTATGGTTTTGAGTTGACCTTGTTCACCTTGCAACATCCAGTATACGTTTGGGCTGGGGTGACCATCGGGAGGGTTACAGGTCAGTTTAAAGGGCAACCCCTCTTGGGCTGTGATCATCGTTTGCGGCCCATCTGTATCTTTGAAAGAATTGAGCTCGGCTTTCCGTACAAATACGGAGTTCGATGTAGCCGTTCCCCACTCGTTGTATGCAAAACATTGATACTGCCCGAGGTCTTCATCTCTTGGTCTGCTTACCACCAGAGTACCACGGCCAGGTTGCTGTGAGATTCGATTGTCGTAACTCGTATATTCGAATGACTTTCCGTTTTTAATCCATCTGTACCTGTTGGACAAAAATAACTCGGTTAGAACGTGACGTCAGGAGCATAATGGATGATTTATTGCCATTGAGCGGTAGGCCTATTACGTAGGCGGATGGGAAATGACTAGAATTATGTCTAGGAGCCAAGGTAGGCAAATGAAATCAAAGTGACTTCTTCCCATAAATGTTTTCTTTAAGAGCTTTACAGATCATAGTTCATAATAGAACATATAAATTAAAATTTAAGTATTCCTACACGTTGTGAGTAAATAATAAAAAAATAAACATGACATAATATTTCCGATGGCAGACGAGATCGCCTGACTCAATCAAGGCTGACTCATGAATAAATTATTACTATACGCTTTATACGACCGTTCAGACCCTCGCCGTGTCATCTATTTACTTCCCAAGAATTTTATAAAATATTTTTAAAAAACCACCGTGCAATTTTAATGTAAGTAATGAGGCTAGATCAAAATGCAACTGGGAAACTAATTTTCCTCGGGAAACTGCTACAAAGGACTCCAGTCACACTTGACCGCTTTATATCACGCTTGCTGAGGTCGGGTCGGGAATCAGGATAAATTTAAAAGTAGATCAAATACATGCAAATACGAAAAAGTAGGCTACTTTCGCATTCGTGTTCACATTCAGTTTATCATATATAAAATTTGCAAAGTGTTTAATTAAGTAATGTATCTGTTATTATTTCATTAACGTAGTGAAAATTTCGTTAGTAATATTGAAAGAGGTCAAACAAAAGTAATAAACTTTTTTTATATTTCAAATTATACAGAATTGATCAATAAAGTATGTCTGATAAATACGACAACATATATTACTTAGAGAATTAATTTATCTTTTCCATACCATAATAATAACTACAAAGGAGACAATAGAGATTGTATAATAAAAATCATAAACTATAAATACGTCAATAAGTTGATATTAATAATATCAACTTATTTTACCTCAGATCTCCAAAATATGATACTATAGTAGAAGAGATTTACAAACGTGGACAACAGTTCGTCGAAACCCATTAATATCCATTATATTATCAACACGTCCTAAGTCACCTCAAGGATCAAGACGGTATTATACATCAGTATATCGAAGCATGCGCCCGACGGATACTACCACTTATGGCTGCTAGGAAGTGCATTGCAAGCCGATTAGGATCCCCTTACCTGACCTTCCTCGAAGGCATATGGCGGAAAAAGTAGGGTGGACTTTTTTACGACTGTATCTCGGTAAATGCCTAACATATTAATACTACATTGCATCATAGGCAAATTAAGAAATAGCCCTGCCTTTTAAAGTGGCCGTTCCCGAGAATCGTAGCCAGTTGTTTTCATTCACGTCACGTAGCAACTGCGTATAAAGGCTTCATCTTAAATGCTGTATTCACTAGAGTTTAAATACTCGTAATTTGTACCAAGTGTTTGTTCGCGCTATCATAAAAAATTTAAAAATATATGAAACAATGCATCCTGCATTCATACAGGATTTGAATGAGAAATCCCAGCTGAATACAGTGGATGTCATCGTCAGAGCTTTTGCATAAAATCGCTGAAGCTTTTGCATAAAATCGCTGAAGCTTTTGCATAAAATATACGTAGGCAGGTTGTTCAACTTGCGCAAGTTTCCTTCCTTAAACAATGGTGTTGGAATTTTTCGGTTTTTAGGGAGTAGGACGCTTGCAGTATAACGGTAAACGGGCTGCAAAAGTAGGAAAAGACGCAACACAATTTATTCCTTGGTAATAATGAAGTTGGTTAAATACTAAAACACTTACATGACTTCAAATTTTTGTTGGAAGTAATTTAATTAAATAGCGTAAGAACGAGCGAATTAAAATCCTACTTTACCGATTAATGGAAATTGTTATATCGCACCCTCTTGATTCTCTTTTGACGTCGTTTCATTAAAGAAAATTGTGGCACTTACGACAATTCTTTGCTATATAAACCGTGGCTCATTTTCGATTGAAACTATAAAAAATCCATCCGATGATATAAAAGCCTGGCCCTTAAGGCAAACAACGAGATTCCATTTTTTTTTAAATTAAGAGAGAACCAAAAAGTGGAATAATTATAATAAATTTGAGTATAATATAAATTATTATGAAGTTTAGGTTTGAGAACCAGAAGAAAACAATAAATTTACTTGCAAAATCCCTATATTTATATGTGGAATATAGAGTCAAATTTGCGTGTTCAACCCTAATATCCAGGGAAATAGAGATATAATAAAATTTTGTTTACATATCCCTCGCCGAGGCACGCGTGCGGAAGGCAATCATACACCGGATATATATTCTTGCCGGCCGTTATTGGGTGTAATGGCTACACTCGTATGGGCATAGTAAGTACCTTAATTTTAGGCTCTTAAAGTTCCGACAGAGATGTCGCTGTTAGTGACTTATGGAAATAACTGATAAAAATGTTCTTTATATAAAAAAATCATGGTAGCAGAAAAATTATATATATTATCAATTGATTTGTTAATAATACAATAACACTAAATCCATCAATGTTATATACATAATATATACTATTTGGTCAAGTATTTGTATACGACATTACAATTGTAAAGCGGGCCTTACACGGACCGCATGTTGCAGTCAAGACCGACTGCAATATGCGGTGGCCGCACGGTGATCTGCGGTTCACATACTAAATTCATATTCGCAATAAACGGACCGCTCGAGTAGTTCCTGAGCAAACCGCATATTGCAGTCGGTCTTGACTGCAACATGCGGTCCGTCTATGGCCCGCTTTACAGTCACTTTCTGACTGATTGAACGAATCCATTTTCCAAATGGTAGTATAGTTAATATTTTTTTTTGGAACAACGTCAACGCCGGCGGGTCACTTTTAACATGATAATCGCCACCCATGGACATCTCCCGGAGCTAGCGGGTGTGTTGTCGACCTTTCAGGGAATAGTACGCTCTTTTCTTGAAGACTTCTAAGTCGTATCGCTTTGGAAATATCTCTACTGGCATTTGGTTCCAGAAAGAGGTGGCGCAGCAGAAAGTGCATTAAAAAGCGCTGTGTTATGGCCCGCCAGGCGTTAGACATGGAAAGGATGGAATTTCGCACTCTGCATCGACGTCCGATCATGGAATACCACCGGTATTAGTCCAAACAAAGAAGTATCGTTTCGTTATTACTACTATTCAAACGATACATGACCGTACTTTAACTTAGTTCCTAAAACGACCACGAAGCGCTGTTCATGTTTTTTAAATAAAAATCTTTCACAAGTATTAAATTACGTTAACAATTAAATTTTTCAAATTGTTTGTACTAACTGCGCTTTCTCTATAGAGACTTTAACTTTAGTAAGAGTTAGTATAGAAATCGACAGTAAATGCATTGACATTCAATTTGAACGTATTCATACACCGTATGATGTCACTAACCTTGCCTTTTAGTGCCTTTGCAGCTAAATGACGATTGCGACTAAATACGGTGTAAGATGACGTAACTTTGTACCTTCGATGCATTGATTGTTTAAACATTACTAAGTCTTGATATACATCTTTAAATTCCAATGTTAGTAGTAAGATATACTCTTAAAACTCTTAAAACCACAAATTCCATCATATGTTATACATCATATAAACTATTCGACGTACGTACGTACGTACGAGTAAGTAAAAAAATAATGATACCAGTAGCTGGCGAGCAATATATACCATCAAAGCCATTCGCATTTGTATTTGATGAGTAATGAATCTTTTATTTTTTTTTGGGGCGGACTAATAAAAGGGGAAGACAAAAAGGTTTTTTTCCCCTAAAAAAAAAAAAGAAAGGGGGAAGGGGGGGGGAGGGGGAAAAAGGGGAAAAAGGGGGGAAAGAAAGGGGGGGGGGGGGGGGGTGGAAAAAAAAAAAAAAAAGGGGGGGGGGGGGGGGGGGGAAGAGGGGGGGGGAGGGGGGGGGTTTTCACCCCCCCCGGGGGAGGGTTGGTGGGGTTTGTTTTCACTGAATTACTTAAATAGTGCTAGGTTTTGTTGTTTTTTGGTTTTTTTTGTGTGCCCCCCCCGGGGGGGGTTTTTCCTCTTCTCTGGGGGGTTTTTTTTTTTTTTTTGTTTTTGGGTTTTTTTTCTTTTTGCCGGCCGGGGTTTTTCTTTTTTTTTTGGTTTTTTTTTTTTTTTTTGTTTTTTTTTTTTTTTTTTGGGGGGGGTTTTTTTTGTTTTTTTTTTTTTTTTTTTTTTTTCTTTGTCGGGGGGCGGGGGTGTTTGGTTTTTTTTTTTTTTTTTTTTTTTGGGGGGGGGGGGGGGGGGGGGTGGGGGGGTTTCGAATAGCACACTTTCTCATTGCCCCCGCGTGCTCTTTCTTTTGTTTGCTTGAATTTCACAAATTTTGGCGGGTGTTGTTTTTTGTGCTGTATAGGGGGGGTTGTTTTGTCCCTCCCACCCGCCCCTTGCCCCCCCTTCTCCCTGGCTTTTCTTTTTTTGTCCTTTTTTTTTTTTTTTTCTTTGTTCTGTGTTCTTTTTTCTCCTTGCTGTCTTGCCTCGGGTGGGGGGGTTTGCCCCCCGCCCCCGGCTTGGTTTTTTTTTTTTTTTGTTTTGGTTTTTTTTGGTTGTTTTTTTTTGTTTTTTGTTGGGGGGGGTGATTTGTTGATTCTAGTCTTAATTATCATGGAAATATTTCTTATTTAGTTGTTCTATCATTATCGAATTTAACTATTGAACCCATGGTTTGGCTAAATTTTTCTAAATGGGAAGTACTTAATTGATCGGCATTACTTGCACTTCTTTAAAAATATTTAATTCAGGTCACCTTCTCTTTTGGCAACTTTTTTTTTGGGATAAATTTTTTTTCCCCCCCCAAAAAATAACTGAGACTTATCATTGAGGAGCTTTCCAAAAGTGAATTGCTTGCCTTTACCTATATGAATAAAGTTATTTTGAGTTTGAATTATATATTAAATTTTAATTAGTTATAATACAAACAACATCGTTTGCAAACATTAACATATTGTGATTTTAAATAGAATGTATGTAA